GAGGGAGAGGTTAATTTTGAGGAGATACAAGAAAGGGATAGGGAAATGCAGAGGGTGGAAAGATGGGAAAAGATTAGGGTCTCGAGATATAATAGGTAGTATGGATGGATAAAGGGGGAGGGGCTGCCGAAATATTTAAGTAAGGGAGGGAGATGGAGAAAGGGTGACTAGGTTCAGGTTAGGAAATGAAGTGAAGGAAGGGAGATATTGGGAGGAAAGGAAATGCAGACTATGTGGGAGTGAGTGGGAAACATGGGAGCATATATGGGAGGGATGTAGGGCTTGGAAAATGGGGGAAGGAGGGAGCTGGCAAGAAGTAGTGGGAAGGATACTGGGGGAAGAAGAGGAGGGGGAGGGATGGATGAGGGAAGTTGAAGAGGAAAGGAAGAGGATGAGGGAGGAAGGGGGCATAGGAGAGGGTAAGAATGATTGAGGGAGGAATGGAAAGAAGAAAGGAGGGAGGGGGAGGATGAGGGGGTGAGAGAGGGAGGGAGGAATGAGTGAGAGATTGAATGAGAGGGGAGGGAGGCTCTGTGGGGAAGGTATGTTAAATATAAAGATAGTTAAGATTGAAGGATCCACAAATATGGATGGACAAGACAGCGGAAACGGAGGTCCGGGCGGAAAGAGAGAGAGAGAGGGGGGAGGGGAGTAGGGATCAGTCATGTAAGATAGTTGTAAGTTAGTTTTAAGGTAGGCTAAGGATAGAATGTAAGATTAGATGTAAGAAAAATTGTGAGTGGTAATTGTAAATTGTGAATTGTAACCCCGAGGGGAACAAAATAAATATATCTATCTATCTAAACATATTGTTACGTATTCTATGGCGATCCTTCTTAGTGGTAATTGCTACCTTAGTTTACGTTGATACGTCGCATGGCGCTAGCGTCGATGGCACTAGGGAGAGCGTGTGGCGCACCGGGCCTCGGGAGGTAGATAGGCACTTTCTTTTTACTCTCGTTTTTTCTTTTTATCACAAGACACGTTGCGAACATTGTATGTCCTGCGTACTCAACTTAAGATAGTGATCCAAATAAACGCATTCCTTTCTTACGAAGTGTGTGTTAGTCATTGCACCAAACTAAATAACAGATATGCATATTACATGGTATCCGTCCGTCGTTTTCATTAACGGCAAAACCTTAACACATTAATTTGGTCCTTCGAGCCGGATCCACGCCATTTTGGATTCGAAAACTGGTGTAAACGCACAACATCGTAAGGCATAATCTACAATAAAGGGAATGACGCTCAAGACCATCAGAGCAGTATTATAAACAGCATCCACGAACTTGTGCATGTTCAGCACAACAAAGGACGCCAGAGGGATTCGCTAAACGCCATTTGGATATCTGACACAAGACTGTCTTCGATACTATTCAAGCTACCAGGCAACTACCACAGGCAGTTCAGCAATAACAGGTTTATGGACGAACATCCGCAGGAACAACGACGACCATCATCTAGCGCAATTGTATGTACGGTTAAGTGTCTGTATCACTAGTTTAGCAAAATGGATATCGATTCATTAAAGGCTAAGCGAAGATCAATCAAAGCTTTTTGTACGCGCATAAAAACTTATGTTAATTCAATTCAAGATGTCAATCAGGAAGTATGTATACAGTTACAGCTCAGGAGGGACAAGTTAACGGCTTTCTGGGATGCTTTCGAGCATACTCAATTTAGCATTGAAGCATTAGAGCCAGATCTTGAATCGAACGAACACGAATTGTTTGAAGCTGCATATTATGGTTTAATGACTCGAATGATCAATTTAATAGATACCTTTTAAGCGGCACAAGTTCAACAGCAAACGCCAGCTGTTAATATTGTGCCCAATCAAGACACTTTACAAAGAAATTCCAATATTAAACTTCCTCGTTTGAATTTACCAGTATTTTCAGGAAAGTATTCAGAATGGACACCTTTCGCTCAAATGTTTCGCACCATAATTTCAGAAAATAGCAAGTTAACCAATATTGAAAAATTCCAGTATTTACGTGCGTCATTATCAGGTGACGCAGCAGATGCAGTCGAGTCATTAGATCTGACGGAAAAGAATTTTACGGTTGCTTGGCGTATATTATCAGAGCAATATGATCGAATTCGCATTATTGTTCAAGCTCATTTTCAAGCAATTATTGATATCCCTAGCATTAAGAAAGAAAGTCATTCCGAACTTAAGGCATTAATTAATACCGCTGTCAAGCATGTGAATGCACTGAAATCGCTCAAGCGTCCAGTCGATAAGTGGGATGACATCGTTATTCAAATCTTGGGAAACAAACTTGATTCTAAATTTTTTCGCGATTGGGAAGATACATTAGATTCAGATCAACTACCTACAATTGATCAATTCCTACAATTCTTATTAAAAAAGTGTAACACACTTGAGTTGATTATAAATAAAGAAAATGCATCCACATCAAACAATAAGGTTAATCAAGCAACAGCTCGCAAATCAACGATAAGTTGTGCTGCATCAGTAACTTCAAAATGTAATTTTTGTGATAAACAAAATCATGTTATTTATTTTTGTCAATCGTTCTTAAAATTACCTGTATTCCGCAGATTAGAGGAGGTGAAAAGGCACAATTTATGTACAAATTGTCTTCGATCTAAGAGCCATACGGCCACTCAGTGCACGTCTGGTACATGCAGGACTTGCAGTTTGAAGCACAACACGCTTTTGCATGTAGATAAGCAAGGGAGCTCAAAGAAGGCAATAGATATTCAACAACAGTCTAATTCTTCTGAAGTTGCCACCTCACAAACTATGGTTACTCACAACCTGAGCAGCCTCAAGGAAAATTATGTCATGTTATCAACTGCCGTGGTTAATACGTTTGATTCAGCGGGAAATAAGACTTCTTGTAAGGGATTGTTGGACAATGGTTCTCAAGCAAATTTAATTACACGTGAATTTCTATCTCAGTTGCGTTTAAAAACCAGGCAACAAAACATATCTATAGTTGGAATAAACCAATTAGTGTGTTTAGGTTATCTTTATGCTTTACCTTTCGGTAAAGCGTACACAGAGAGATACTTGGTTCTCAGAACAAAATTAAACGAGACTTTCGCTGTAACAGTCAGCGTAGGATATATCTAACCTTCTTGGAATAAGAACGGAAGCGTTCACGACGACATCACCTAAAAAGGACGCTTGCTCGCGCCCTCTACGTCAGCGCCGCCGCTTTATGTACTAGCTTTATTACTAGAGTATCACCATAATCAACTTCGAGCGGGAACTTTAAACATTCCGCCCGCCTTCATTAACATTGTTAATGAACCGAAAAAAGGGTTATCACAAAGTTTCATGAGATATCGGAAGGGGGCAAACTTTCCCAACAGAGCGTTTCAATACAGAAGAGTGAGTTTGGATAGAAACAACTCGAGTAAGTCCGTCAGTCCCAGGATGAGTTTGAACGATGCGTCCGATAGGCCATTTGCATGATGGATAACGTTCGTCAACCACGAGAACCAGATCCCCGATAGTTAGGGAAGGTAAAGGTTTTTTCCATTTGTATCTAGCATAGTATCGTTGTAGACATTCCTTGGACCATCTAGTCCAAAAGCTCTCTGTCATCTGTTGTATAAGTTGCCATCTAGAAAGATGGGAAAGTTTAATATGCTCAGTACAGGGTTCAGGAACAACCGAAGGAGCACACCCCATTAGAAAGTGGCCTGGTGTCAATGCCTGGAGGTCATCAGGGTCCTCGGTCAAAGCGCTTAAGGGCCTTGAATTAAGTACTGCCTCAATTTGAGTCAATAGGGTAGTAAACTCTTCGTATGTAAGCAATGAATTTCCGACAATCCGATAAAGGTGCAGTTTTACGGATTTAACTCCGGCTTCCCATTTTCCACCAAAATGTGGAGTTGATGGTGGGTTGAACCGCCATTGAGTTCCGTCATTGGAAAGAAGAGTAGCGAGCTTGTTAGATTCTTGAGTGGCAAGTGTGAATAATCGTTGCAGCTCTGCGTCCGCACCTTTAAAATTAGTCCCATAGTCACTGTACAGAGTAGAGCATATACCACGTCGAGCTGTAAATCTTTTGAATGCAGCTATAAATCTATCTGCTGTGTAATCTGTAACGAGTTCCAAATGAATAGCTGAAGTAGCATAACAAACAAAAAGTGCAATATAAGCCTTGTAAGTCTTGGCATTTTTTCCTTTCCACGTTTTGATAACAAAGGGGCTAGCATAATCTACCCCTGTGTGCGTAAAGGGTCTTGAAGGAGTTATTCTCTCTGGAGGCAATTGCCCCATCAATTGTTGCGCTCTTTTCTGTCGGTAACGAGCACATCTTACGCATTTAAGAATAAAGGAACGTACTGTAGATCGTCCACCTATAATCCAATAGTCGTGTCTTATATATGATAATGTTACTTGTGTACCACCATGCAAGGTACGTTGATGAGCCTCTGCTATAATGAGTCTAGTCAAGGGCGAATCTTTTGGTAGAATTAATGGATGTTGCTCTGACGGTGGAAGAAGAGAACGTTGCAATCGACCTCCAACACGTAAAAGCCCTTTTGAGTCAACGAAGGGTGTAAGACGTAAGAGAGGGTTGGATGTAGGCAAGGAATTATGTTTCGAAAGAATCTCCAGCTCCTGTTGAAAGTGTGATTTTTGAACTGCGCTTACCCAGAATAATCTAGCGTCCTCCAATTCTTGGGTGGTAAGTGTCGTCAACGAGGTCGCTGTTTTTCTGAGTTTAGCGATAGCTCTTCGGCAAAGAGCGGTTATTCGAACCAGCTTGTTCAAGCTAGAATATTTAAGCACGAGATCCCATAGCTTGATAGTGACAAGAGCTACGTTGATCTTAGTTGGCTTTTCTTCGAGGAGTTCTTTATTAGTAGTTGGAATTGATAAAGTTGGCCAACTCGAAGGAGTTTCTGACAACCAACTTGGACCGGTCCACCAAGCCGGTTGTTCTGACAGTTGATTCGGAGTTAAGCCTCTTGTAGCTAAATCTGCTAGATTCTCGTTTCCAGGAATGAACTTCCAAGTCGCTTGAGGTAATGTTTCTTGGATATAACAAACTCTATTGTGTATAAATTCTTTCCACCGCGATGGGTGGTTAGTAATCCACGTGAGTGTGATTGATCAATCCGTCCATAAAAAAATAGAGGGATTTAGGTTATCTAATATAGTCAGTAAATTAGAAACCAACTTCGTTAGCAAGAAGGCTCCCGTTAATTCTAAACGTGGAATGGTTAGTCGTTTAAGAGGAGCTACCTTTGTCTTGGAGGCCAATAAAATGGTCGTTGTTTCTTCTTGCACGTTAGTTATGCGAATATAGACAACTGCGGCCATAGCCAATTGTGATGCATCACAAAACCCATGGAGTTCAGTCAGGTAACCAACCTTCCATCCAATCCACCGTGGAAATGTGAGTTTGCTTAGATTCTGTAATTTGTTGAGGAAGTTACACCATTTGTTAGCTATAGGATTAGGTAATGGATCATCCCAACCCAGCTTGATAGACCAAAGTTCTTGTATGATGATCTTGGCAGTGATAATAATCGGTGACAGGAGCCCGAGTGGATCATAAATCCTAGCTATGGTAGATAAGATAGTTCTTTTAGTTACAATGTCCGCTTTAAATAAAGTTGAAGTGAACTGGAAGACATCCTTCGATGGTTGCCATTCTAATCCAAGAGTGTGAACGATTAGATCGTTTTCAATGTGAACGGTGGAATGGTTAACTTGATTTTCCATGGGAACGTGTTCTAAGATTTTAGGATGATTGCTGGTCCATTTTTGTAAGTTGAAGCCGCCCGCCTTGCAAAGTGGTATTAGTTGATTTATAATTTCTTGAGTCCTTTCAATGCAATCAGCTCCGCCAAAGACATCATCGACGTATCTTCCTTTTTTCAGTACAGGAACCGCTAATGGATACTTCAAACTCGTCTTCTAAGAGTTGCAAAAAGACACGTAATGAAAGATACGGAGCACAAGCTAGACCGTAGGTAACTGTTGTAAGTTCGTAGGTGGAAAGTCTCTTGTCTGGATCCATCCACAAAATGCGCTGAAATGCCCAATGGTCTGGATGAACTTTTATTTGTCGAAACATCTTCTCGACATCAGTGCAGAACACGTAACGAAACAGCCGAAACCATATAAGTATATCAAACAATTCGGTCTGCAATTTTTCTCCAGTATGCAAAAGATCATTTAACGAATATCCTGAAGAGGTAGGGCTTGAACCGTTAAATACAACTCTCAACTTGGTAGTGAGACTCTGCTCTCTCATGACGCCATGATGTGGCAGGTAACAGCTGTACGACGGAGGCGATAGGCAAACTGGCACCAACCGCATGTGTTGCAATCTTTCATATTCCTTTAAGAAATCTGAATAAGCACGAGCGTAATCTTCATTATTGTCAAGTCGATTTCTCAATTTCATCGCGAGTCGTAAGGCTCTATTATGAGACTCTCCCAATTTGTCAATCGATTCTTTGAACGGAAGCTTCACGATGTATCGTCCTTGTTCATCTCGAGAGTATGTAGATTTGAAGTGGTCTTCACAATCTTGGTCTGCCAAGGACAGGCGAGAGACTCTGGTTGAGGGAGGTTCTTCTAGAGCCCAAAATTTGCGTAGCAGATTGGGGAGATCTTCGTCCAAGGTGACATGAAATCCGCGAGCTGTCCTTGTAGTGATAGTGTCCTTGACGGGACCAGAGACAATCCATCCAAACTTGGTTCGCTGAGCGATGGGAGAATCTCTTTGTCCCTTAATTATTCCTTCTTCTATTATCTGGCTATAGACGTCGGCTCCTAGGATCATGTCAATTGAACCAGGAGAATAGTAATTGAGATCCGCTAACTTCAAATCATTCAAGTGCTTCCATGAATGGGAATTTGCTGCGACTGACGGAATCGAGGACGTTAGTCTTTTCAAAATGTATACTGAAATGGTGAGTTCATAATCTGAAGCGAAATGAGGCTTTAGTGTAACTGATGCTAGCCCTTTTGTCCTTGACGATTTTTGAGCACCTATACCTGTTAAGGTAAGATGTGCCTGAGTGCGAGGCAGATGCTGTCTTTGAACGAGACGTTCGGTTACTAGAGATATCTCCGACCCTTGATCTAGAAGTGCTCTGACGCTGCAAGTTTCTCCAGAGGGGGAGATTTTCTTAATCAAAGCGGTTGCTAGTAAAACATTGGGCGAGTATGTGATATGCTCAATCGAAGAGTGTAGTACTTGTGCATCCGTCGTCATGACGGTATTAGTAAGAGATTCCGTTGTTGTAGGCTTGACTGGAGATTTTTTGTCCGACCTCTTTTGATGAATTGTAGTATGATGTTTTGCAGCGCACTTTTGGTAACGTCTAGTACTTTTACATTGAGCAGAGCGATGCAAGCCTAAACAATTGTAGCAGAGTTTGTGTGTTTTGATAAGTTCCAAACGTTGTTGTATTGACTTATTAGCATAATGTGGACATGACACCGGATAATGACTTTCCGAACAGATCGGACATTGTTTCTGCGTGAGGGGACCACTACTCTTGGAAGTGCTCTGATAATGGGATTTTGCGGTAGTCTGATACGGTTGAGAACTGGAAGTGACCGAGCGAGATTTTTCATAAGCCTTTAGAGCCAACAAACGAGATACAAGAAAATCATTGAGCTGAGTCCAAGACGGAAGCTCCATGGATGAGCCAAGATTTTGCTCCCAAGCCTTAACAACTTCGGTGCAACGACTCCGAGTCGAGTCGTTGCACCGTAATAAAGATCAGGAAATCATCCCAATAAGAAACTGGACGTTGAAGATTTTCAAAAGTCCGGTAAATTTGCATAACGTTAGTGTATAATTTTTCCAAATCGCTAGCAGATTCCTTCGTCATGCGCTTCAATGTAAGCAAGGATTGTAATGCTGCATTGACTAATAACCGTTTATTTTCATAATACGAGATCAAAGATTCCCATGCTCTTTGAAAATTATCTGCTGACAACGTAGTATTCTTTAACAAAAGAGCAGTAGGCCCGGTAAGACTAGTTTTTAGATACTGTAGTTTTTCCACCGGTGACAATGTGAGATTTTCTATTACAAGTGAACTGAACAAGTCCTTAAAGGATAACCAGTCGGATGGTGTACCATTAAATTTCGGAAGATCAATGCGAGGAAGTCGCGCATGGTGGAAGAAAACCGGTAACCCTGAAGAGGGGAAAGAGACAGAGTTGGAAGTTGAAGAGCTTGGGATGCTTCCCCGATCCTGTTCTAACAGCGCATTTAATTTCTCGACTGACCCAACATAATGTTCGTGGGTAAGAATAAAGAGATCGTCTGTGAAATAAGAATGATTATGTATCTTTAGCTTATCTGTTGTACTCAGTTCGTTGATCGCAATCGTAATGGCTTTGTTTTCCACAGAAAACTGCTCCCAGTCATCTTGCAGGGTGGCTATACGGGCTTGAATTCTTTGAGAGGTTAGGTTTGTTAAGCCATTCTTTGTAAAGTTGCCATAAGCATGAGCTATGATTTCAGATAGAACAAGCTGCTGCTCAATATGACAGTGAATGTGACTAAGTCTCATCCTTCCTCGTCGCTCACCATATCCGGCTCGAAGGACCAAATGTTTAGGTTATCTTTATGCTTTACCTTTCGGTAAAGCGTACACAGAGAGATACTTGGTTCTCAGAACAAAATTAAACGAGACTTTCGCTGTAACAGTCAGCGTAGGATATATCTAACCTTCTTGGAATAAGAACGGAAGCGTTCACGACGACATCACCTAAAAAGGACGCTTGCTCGCGCCCTCTACGTCAGCGCCGCCGCTTTATGTACTAGCTTTATTACTAGAGTATCACCATAATCAACTTCGAGCGGGAACTTTAAACATAGTGAGTAACGCAAACGACATAGTCACTATTAAAATTCAATCTCGCATAAACAATTTCCAATTAACTATTGATTGTATAGTAACAGAAAATATTACTGATTTAGTTCCTATGAGGCATTTAAACAAACTATCTATGAACATACTAAAAAACATTAAACTTGCCGATCCTCAGTTTAATGTGCCTTCATCGATTCAATTGGTGCTCGGGGCCGATGTATTCTGGCGGATTTTGTGCATCGGCCAAATAAAATCGTCTGTTAATAATCCAACCATACAAAAAACACATTTCGGTTGGATACTAGCAGGTTCCATCAATAACAGATATATAATAAAGGATGGTGCCGTGGCCTCGATAAATATTTGCTCGATGATTTCCGACGTGTCAACTAGTGATCTTGAACAATGCATAACGAAATTCTGGGATTTTGAACACAATATTTCAGATCAAACTCTTTGGTCACCGAATGACCATGAATGCGAGGAACATTTCTTGCGAACTATTAAACAAAACAGCGAAGGTAGATTTATTGTTACATTGCCAATCAAGACTGCACAATCTAAACAGCTTGGTGAATCCAAAAATATAGCTTTATAAAGATTTCATAATTTAGAAAAACGTTTTAAACATAATGATCAATTAAAAATTGAATATACGTCATTTATGCAAGAGTTCAATTTAGGACATATGCAATTGGTGGACGATTCTACTTATAACAATAAAACTTCATTGTATTTACCACACCATTGTGTGTTCAAGGCATCCGACACACACTCCAAGTTGAGAGTAGTTTTTGATGGATCCTGCAAATCAGATACTGGGTATCTTTGAATGATATTTTAATGGTAGGCCCGGTCGTTCAATCGGACTTATTTGCGTTATTAGCAAGATTTCGGTCATTCAAATATGTTTTTACTGCTGACGTAGTAAAAATGTATAGGCAGATACTCGTGGATCCGACGCAAACATCGTTGCAATCCATATTATGGCGAGAGAATGTTGACGATCCTGTATCTACTTATCAATTAACTGTAACATATGGCTCTGCCTGCTCCATATTTGGCAACTAGATGTTTGAAATATATAACGGAACTGCATCAAAGGGATTTTCCTGAAGGTGCACGGGCTATAATCAATGATGTTTATGTTGACGATTTGTTGACAGGCGCACATTCGTTGGCCGATGCAAGCGCCAAACGTAATCAAATTATTGAAATCATGTCAAAGGGTTGCTTCACGCTGGACAAATGGTTCTCCAACTGTATTGAGCTTTTAGAAGGAATCTCTAATAACAAAACGCAAGATTGTGTTTCTATAAATGAAAATTACGAAACTCGTATACTCGGTTTACAATGGAATCCATATGATGATTCTTTTCGGTATACATTCGATGTAGGGAGCATGCATTCAAATATAACGAAGAGGAATATGCTATCTGAGATCTCTCGATTGTTTGATCCACTAGGATGGGTTCCCCAATCATTCTTCTAGCCAAGTTAATGATTCAAGAGTTATGGAAATTACAATTGCATTGGGATGCTTCGGTTCCCGCCGACATGCATTCATGTTGGGTGGAGTACAAAAAACAAATGCCAAAGTTATCAGAATTACGTATTTCACGAATGATTGGTGTAACTCTTGAAACGTTAGAAATTCAATTGGATGGTTTTGCAGATGCCAGTCAACATGCCTATGGTGCATGCTGTTACATACGAACATGCGACACCCAAATGCAATTTCAAACGCGTCTCTTAGCATCTAAATCGCGAGTCGCATCGACAAAGGAAATTTCGTTACCGCGTCTAGAATTGTGTGCAGCTCTTTTGCTAGCTCAACTGCAAGACAAATTGTTAAAGTCAATTGATATCCAACCGCACAAGCGATATTTCTTTGGACCGACTCCACTATCACCTTATCGTGGATTAGAGCACGTTCACGCAGATTTTCAGTGTTCGTTTCTAATCGTATCGGTGAAATCCAAAGATTAACTGAAGTAACTAGTTGGCATCACGTCTCTTCAAAACATAATCCCGCGGACATAATTTCTCGTGGGGCGAAGCCTCAGGAATTAATAAATTCACGTTTGTGGTGGAACGGTCCAGAGTGGTTGGAGGTAGCTGAGAGTGACTGGCCTGATCAACAACCACAATATCCAGAAATCTTATCTGAGCAGTTAAAGGTCAAAATACATGTGGTAAGACAAGAATCAGATGTGTTAGAGGAGTTAATTGTCAAATATTCCAGTTTTGACAAGTTGGTGCGAGTGATCTCATACATATTCCAATTCGTTAATAACTGCAGAAATTCGTTTGACAAGCGTGTTAGCACTGTAAATGAGCAAAATCGCGAGCATGCACTTCAGGTATTATGTAGATACATACAGCAGCGATGTTTTAGCCAAGAGATTCATGATCTGACACATATCGGAACTGTTTCCAATACGAGCAAAATTTTGTCACTAAATCCATTTTTAGATCAATACGGGGTATTAAGAGTAGGTGGTAGACTAAAACATGCTGATTTAGATTATAAGGCTAAGCATCCAATTTTGTTACCTAAGAATCTTACAATCACGAAACTTATTATACACAACAAACACGTAAAAAATTTACATGCGGGAGTCCAAGCTACGATATATGCAGTTCGAGATAAATTTTGGCCAATTTCGGTTAAGGTGACAGCTCGAAATGTCATAAAGAAATGCATAACGTGTTTCAAGCTCAAGCCTGGCAGGTCCCACGTTATTATGAGTGATCTCCCTAGTGTGCGAGTAAGTCTCATATCCATTTGCGTACACAGGCTTAGATTTCAGTGGTCCGTTTTTTATAAGAGAACATAAGCGTAGAAATGCTAAACTAATTAAGGCATACATTTGTATTTTTGTATGTTTTGCTACTAAGGCTGTCCACATAGAGCTTGTGGCTGATTTATCTTCAGACGCCTTTTTAGGTGCACTTAAAAGGTTCATGGCCCGAAGGGGCAAGGTAATTTGTTTATATTCTGACAATGCTACGAATTTTGTAGGAGCAGCACGAGAAATTACTGATCTTTATAAGCTATTTTGCGAAGAACAAACGAAGCGCAGATTGAACAATTTTTTCACAGAAATGCAAATTCAATGGCAAATGATACCACCTAACGCTCCGCATTTTGGCGGACTTTGGGAAGCAGCCATCAAATCGGCGAAATATCACATGAAGAGGATAATCGGCAATACATCGCTTAACTACGACGAGATGTCCACTGTCATCGCAGAAATTGAAGCCATCTTGAATTCACGTCCTATAAGCCCAATGTCTGATGATCCCAACGATATACAAGCCTTAACACCTGAACATTTCCTTATTGAACAACCCGTAAATAGTTATGCTTACTCAGATCTAGAGAATATTAAAATAAATCGGCTAAGCCGATGGCAACTGGTAGAGCGTTTGCGACAGCATTTTTGGCAACGGTGGCGAATTGAATATCTCAACACTTTGCAAGGACGTACAAAATGGAAGACGGATAAAGGTGAATCCCTTAAGACGGGCCAATTAGTCATAGTTCAGCAACCAGGATTGATGCCGCTCCAATGGCTGTTGGGTCGTGTACTGTTAACGTGAGTTCTGATAATAAGGTCAGATCAGTTGAAATTCAGACTAAAAATGGAACAATTACTCGGCCACTAACAAGATTAGCTATTTTACCTTTAGATACGTAAGATAATATTTTCTATTATATACTTTGTTACCTGCGTTATAACATAAATTTATAAAACACATTTATAATATACATTGTCATATTAGTTTGCCAGATTGCCACTCAATCTTTAGTCATAATATTCATCTTATATTTCATTTTATGTTCATGACCGCCCGATTTATCGAACTGCATCAAACAGTTGTATTTTATTTGTTGAAACTAGAAGGTTTCAAGGCGGGCAGTGTTACGTATTCTATGGCGATCCTTCTTAGTGGTAATTGCTACCTTAGTTTACGTTGGTACGTCGCATGGCGCTAGCGTCGATGGCACTAGGGAGAGCGTGTGGCGCACCGGGCCTCGGGAGGTAGATAGGCACTTTCTTTTTACTCTCGTTTTTTCTTTTTATCACAAGACACGTTGCGAACATTGTATGTCCTGCGTACTCAACTTAAGATAGTGATCCAAATAAACGCATTCCTTTCTTACGAAATGTGTGTTAGTCATTGCACCAAACTAAATAACGGATATGAGGCATTCTTTTACAAACCATTTACAAACCCTTCCTTTTACAAACATTTTTTTTTTCGACATTTTTAAATCGCTTCAAACTTTTTTTACCAATTGTAGGTATAAAATAAGCGAACACGTGTATCGGGATTTTTTTTTTAAATTTATTTTCGAAGAAATAGCGATTTTAAATTTTGAGTTTTATGGTAATTTTGCCTTTTATGGTAATTTTCAAGTCGTCGTATCTACGTCGTTTTTTATAGTAGAACAATTTTTTTTTTCATTTCAAACGTTATTACATCAGCTTTTTGATGAAATTATGTTCCTAACCTCAACTTTAAAAAAAAATACTTTTTTCTGCAAATTAAATCTTAAAAGTTAATTTTGACCATGACACCCGGAGTTAATTTATTTTTTACAAATACTATCGGATTTCTCGGAAAATTTACTAAAAAATGTGAAAATTTCAGAATGGCGTTTTTAAAACTCGCCTGGGAATTAATTAAATAGTCCGGCAACTCGAGGACGCGCGCGCGGCGAGCGGGCGCTAACTTTCTCGTTCCGAGCGGCGCTTGCGATATCTGCATGTCTCGTACGATATTTTCAACTTTTCAGTTTAAAAGAACAATTATATCTACATTTAGTGTAATGAAACATCCATATTTGATATGGTACAAGAAAATGTATGTAAATCTGTAAATCAATGATGAAACGAAAGTGTGTACAACATTTTTATTACAATGATATATTTTCAATTATTGAAACATTTAGGTTTCGAAGGTTTCGAATTAAATATACAAAATTATATTTAAAAATAATGTTTATGCATTCTGTGTAGTATGTATACACAGAATGCATAAATATTATTTTTTGGTACGTTACAATTTCGAAATT